ATATCTCTCTTAAAGTGAGGGGCCCAAAACTAGACACAATATTCCAGGTGCGGCCTCACCAGTGCCGAGTACAGGGGCAGGATCACTTCCCTGCTCCTGCTGGTCACACTGTTCTTGATACACGCCAGTATCCCATTGGCCTTTTTGGCCACCTGGGCACACTGCTGGCTCATATCAAGCCGGTAGTCAACCAACACCCCCAGGTCCTTCTCCGCCAGGCAGCTCTCCAGCCACTCTTCCCCGAGCCTATAGCGATGCTTGGGGTTTTTATACCCCAAGTGAAGGACTCTGCACTTGGCCTTATTAAAGCTCACGCCATTGGCCTCAGCCCAATGATCCAGTCTGTTCAAATCCCTCTGAAGGGCCTCCCTACCCCCAAGCAGATCAACACAGCCTTCCAGCTTGGTGTGTCCGCAAATTTACTGAGGGTACATTCAATCCCCTCATCCAGGTCATTGATAAAGATGTTAAACAGAACTGGACCCAGCACTGAGCCCTGGGAAACCCCACTGGTGACCGGCCTCCAGCCGGATTTAGCCCCATTTACCACCACTCTTTGGGCCCAGCCATCCAGCCAGTTTTTAACCCAAAGGAGGGTGACACTGCTTCGAGAGTGGCCAGAAGAAAATAAGAAGCTATTTAAAATATTTTTGTTCACAATTGGGAACCATCTTCTGCCTGAAAACCAGTGCAATACAGACACAAACATCTTCCATTTAAAATTTACATGAATTCATAAACATTTTATGAAGCAGAGTCAAGCACGACAGACTAACTTGGAGTAAGGGGGAAAAAAATCAGTGCTCATTGTCTGCCCTATCAAACTGACTTATGTGAGGGTTTTTGCATTCAGAAAGATCACAGTGAGCTTCACAGCCAAACAGTGCTACAGCACAGCCCAGAGCACATCATCACCAGTGAAATCACCAGGTGAGAACTCAAACATCACTTGGTTCAAGTACTTGGGGGGAGCACGATAAGTACATTTTAGACTGTTTCAGGACGAGTATTAACATAGAATCATAGAATGGTTAGGGTTGGAAGAGACCTCAAAGATCATCTAGTTCCAACCCCCCTGCCATGGGCAGGGAAATCCTCCACTACACCAGGTTGCCCAAAGCCTCATCTAACCTGGCCTTGAACACTGCCAGGGATGGGGCATCCACAACTTCTCTGGGCAACCTGTTCCAGTACCTCACCACCCTCAATGTAAAGAATTTCTTTCTTATATCTAACCTAAATCTGCCCTCTTTCAGTTTAAATCCATTGCCCCTTGTCCTATCACTACACTCCCTTGTAAAAAGTCCCTCTCCAGCTTTCCTGTAGGCCCCCTTTAGGTACTGGAAGATCCTTCATCAATACTTCGCAATCCCAGAGGTAACACAGGAAGACAGATCCATCCACATGCAAGGCCTTGTGTATCCGTTAGGTTGTTTATTCCCCCAAAACACCCTTCTCATCTGTTTTAGCTCCTGAAGTTCGGAAGAACATGTTATGAAGGACTATCTTTGAAAAGAAATACAAATTGTAGAAAGGCTGAGATGGGAAAGTTCCTAAGGCCCTATTTCTTGCCAGGGACTTCCCTTGAATACAGCGTCTGCAAAGCAGAGACAATACGTATCACTGCCAAATCCCATTTCCAAAACAGGTTGCCAGAATTTCCCAGGACAGCTGTGGGGTCTAAAGATCAGCCATCCTCTTCCTCTCAGTGCAGTACTCTGACTGGGATTTAAGCATGTATCATGGGTACAAAACCTCGTTGCACATTTCTAGAATAAGAACCAAACCTGAAGCTTGATGAAAGAGGATCAGTTCAAACATTCTTCTTTTCTTGTAAAAGCATTTGAGATGCATAAAAGTGATTTACCCTTTGTTTTGTTCAGTAGACCTAATGCTGACCTAATACCAGGTTTGAGAACCGTTGCTACAATTTCAAAGCAGCTGTACATAGAGCTGGAAGATTGTCTGATCAAGATAAAGCTCCTATTGCTGAGTAAAAGAGCTGAGTGCTCATAAAAAGTGACCCCTGCTCTGTTCTAACAAAAAAATGTGCTATAGTCAAAACTGGAAATCTTTCACAAATCTTTCTCCCTCTCTGTATCTTTTAGCATTCAATGTCAATTAAATAAAATTCATCTAGCATTTCCAGTATGTTGGTTCCAAATAACAATAATAGAATTATTTTGCTTAAAATAAATTCTTTTCATAAATTACAGAAGACAGAAAATCAATGTGTTAAAAGTGGCCTTTTGCTTATTTAACATGCATTTACAGTTTAAATCCTGCCCTTCATAAAAGTTTTCCTTACATAACTACACATAGGCAGATCTTAATTTTTATGTCTTGCTCTGCATCTTCTATTCCTCACATTGATAATTAATATGGATAGAGCTTAAAGAACGTCACTGATAATTTTGACACATTACTGATAAACCAAGCCTTTGTTACAGCATTAAGCGATAGTTATGAACCCACGAGATAAAAACCAGCCAGGTATGCAGACACTGAAATGCTATAGCCCAGTCTGAGAGGACTGCTTCCTCTCAACTTCCACAGGCATCATCAGGACCAAGAGGAAGAAAGGAGATGTGACCGTGAAAACCTCACACGCAGCGTTTAACGCTCTCCAACCCAGATTTCAGGATTTACCCCTGGAAGTCACCGTCCAACTACGTAAACTATGGTTTGGGTGCTGACGAAGCACTGAAGTGGCATCACGCTGAAGAGCATCACCCACAGACTAACTCCCTGCCCACGGAGCCTTCCCAGGGCACCAGGCGCTACGCCAGTCCTGGCGCCTGATCCCCTCCCGCTGCTCCAGTTGTCTCAACAGACTGCGGAGATGTGGCATTTCTGCTGAGTTTGAGCTTCACGCTGTTCACAATTAGGTCCTTAATGAGTGTAAATGTAGACACTAAACCTGAGCAGATTGTTGCAAGTGAAAGAAGGCAGAACTTCTGTACCTACTATGTTTGCTTTGTTTGCAAATAAATCGTTGTAACACAAACATTACATGTTTAGTAATGACTCATCTCCTAACAGGACTTCCTTGATAAAGCTCTGTGATCATAAGCACCTCCTTGAAGGACATGATCTGACCTGCACTGAAGTTAGCAGGGACTTGTCCTTATTTCAGCGTAAGACAGTCCAGGTGGCAGATGTCTGCCAGGATCTGCAGTTCATTTTCTTTATGCAACCCGCAGCATAATCAGACAATCATTAAACTGTCAGCCTAGAAATGAGCCAAAACCGACGTAAGCTCTGTTATTTAGATAATGTACATTAAGCCAAAGAGCTAGCCATCGATGTGGAACTGAAAATTTTGAATTCCCAGAAACGGCACAGATCCCTTTGCTTTTATCTGGGAACTTGCCTTCCAAATTTGTGCCAAATTCTATACGCAGCTTATTTTCAGTCCAGCAGCACCAAACACTAAAGAAGTGCAACACCGCTTCTCACAAAACTCTAACACGCTTTGCGTACTTTTATTTACTATAGTCAGGGCTGCCCAGGTAGGACAAAAAAATGCCAAACCAAGCACCAGATCCAAAATTAGCATTTTATTCAGAACGTTGGGGTCAGAGGTGTATCATTCATATTCTGGTACACAATACAGAGGCAAAGCTGTTCTCAGAAGTCTCTCCAGTTTGAAAGCTCCTTCCCCCTTCCCTCCCCGCCCCCAAAACATACTGTATATTTACTCGTGCCACTGGTATCAGGCCAACTCCCCTCCCTCCCCTTTTTTTGGTACAAATTATGTAAAACTTTTGTGCTAAGAACTTTTCTCCCTCCCCAAACCAAAAAATAATAAAAATAAAAATAAAAAAAAATATTGAGTACTCTAACTACAGTTCAACAATTGAATCAATGTCACTTGTTTGCAATCTGTTTTGTAAATACTTTATCCATAACGAAAGATATAAACATGCAAAAACCTGAATCCATAGTCCAAATAATACATACACGTGTTCTGAAGTTTCTGCACTTCTCCACAGACTATGCCAATAAAACATTATGTACACATACTGTTTTTTACAGTGAAGTGGGAAAAAAATGCTAGAAATTAAAAAAAAAAAGAAAAAAGAAAAGTGTACATGGATTAAGACCAAAATGTGTCTAACATTCTAGCATAAAGAAAAAAAAAATCAGTTCTGCTACAAACTGGTGATATGAAAACTCCCTTTATTTGCAACCAGCTGCATAAGTTTTAGAATTTTAGTGAAAAAAATCCCCTAACATCTAAAACTAGAAGTAATGTACATTGTTCCACCTCACGGTCTTCTTTCCCAGATAATAAAATTGTTCCATGAGGATTTTTTTTTGTTTATTTTAATCTCCGTATTTTAATAAAAGCAATGCGATGTAACAAAAGCATGTTGAAGCATATTGTGTTTCACCTTACTCCTCCCCACCCCAACATATTTTGTCTCTTTAATGCATCATTTCATAAATCAGTACCATTAAAGCCTTAAACATAAAACTAATTCCGATCTGAAAAAGGTACAAAAAGGCACATAAAATCCCAGTGCTTCTGTACTGTAAAATTCAAGTGTAACTGAGCTCAATATTTTTTTCCAAACAGCATTGGATCACTGATATTCCACGGAGCCCAAATTGGTTTGCAGCCTAAGCCAAAGCCTTCAGCAAGCACTTGTGCTAGTAGACTACAAAGTTAAAGCCTAGCTTCTGTATGCTTTTGGGGAATATCAGTTGAAACGTTTGTACTTGTCCAAAAACAAAGTTCACTTTGAAGTTCAGTCATCACCTCCACCATACATATCAGCAAGTTTCTTGAAACGCGGGCCCCAGTCATTTAGGTAGTCATAGTCTTGCTCACCACCACTACTCGAGGAGTTAAGAGAGCTCAAGGATCCAGCAGTGGAGCCACTTCCTTCATAGTCAAAGACTAAGAGGGAGTCATATGGCGGGGCTGTAGGGTCATTGTCGGCTGCTTTAAGTCCCTGCAAGAAGGAGAGGGAGAAAAAGAGATAAAGTTCTGTATCTGAGAGCAAGATAAAACATAACTGAAATATCACAGTGCACTTATCTATCAGTTGCTACTTCAGAAAACCAAGTTGTTTTTCTTCTGCACTCCAATTCAAAACAGGATTTGTGTTTTTGTAACTCCAGCAAGAACTTACTTCAATTCCATTTAGAATGATCAGATTTCCAGCATTGCAGCACTGGACATTTTGAACGTAGCTGCAAATACATCTCTAACAAAACCTTAAGAGAACATCACAGGTCTAGGACTGATGCTAATAAACACACAGTTTCAGAGCTACACAGCTCACAATCTGCAGCATGAGCAATATGGGACCGGTTAAACGGGCAGATGGGGAAGGAGAAATAGGCGTGTTCGCAAAGATTCACTTTAACAGCCATCTCACATGGCCAATAACATATCCACCAACACCGCTGGCCTGCAATCCCTCTGCGTGTGCCAAAAGCCATGTTTAGTTCTGTAAAATTCATGTAGCTCTGTAGGCTGCTGTAAGAAAGATACAATATGTTGGCTTAAGCCTTATGTGCTTTGCCAAAAACTGCCCGTAAGAGTCCACCTGCTCTCCAGAAAACACACACACACAATGACATCAAATAAATAAATACAAGGTTATAACCATTTTTGTTTCTTCACTGAAGTTATCAACACACCAATATTGGATCTTCCGTAATTTTAAATGTCTATGCCCTAGAGCTGAATAACCCAAACTAAAACCATCACAAATTGAACAAGATGAAAGTACGGAAAAAATCACATTTCTTCCAGAGAAAAGTCTCTTTTTTCACTCCCTGTTTTCTTACACAGGTCCAAACCTAACCAGTAAGTTTAATTTTAGAATATCAGATGATTGCTCTGTGCTTATCCTGGAAAGATTTACAAGTTGAATATAAAAGGCTGAAGCCTGAAGTTAAAAAGCTCTCGTGTTTCGTATTTTTCAACCTCGCGGTTTCTTCCATGGGATTAGCAATGCTTTTCAAGATCTTCCACTTTGAGTAGGATCTACTCTGGCAGCCCCTGACATCTTCCAGAATTCTATGAGGCTGAGCTAAGATTTTAAATTCTTACTGTTCATTTTAACCAGTGCTATTTGTGCCGGTCTTATTTTCAATGGTAATTTATTTAAAGAATGAATTTATTATACTCCCAATTGACCAAAGGATTGAGTGTGCCTCCTTCAAATCATTTAACGTATTATGTTTTTAGAAAAGTATGTTTTATTCTCAATTGTGTTTAGTCTAAATGTGACAAAATGGAAACAAACGCTCATTTTTCTTCTAGAAATGCATATATAGCTAAACCCATTAATTAAAGTATATGGCACTGATAGAGTAGAAGAGAATCCTGGTTCTTTATTGCCTATCTAAAATCATTCAAAAGTGTGCAAAAGGTACCTAAAATAATTTTGCAAAGCAGTCATGGAAAGGCCCAGCATATTTATCAAGCTAACGACCTCTAATCAAGAACACATTTTGGACTTAAAATGATCGTTTCATGTAGCACAACAACATCAAGCAGGTTATTAATAGCCTGCATTAGAAGTGCAATTTTGAATTATCTGATAAGAATAATTGGCGATGCTTGTTATCTTTTTCTCTTTGGGAGTTTTCCATCCTGATGGCCATAATAAGGACAAAAGATTTGAGATTCCAAAAAGGCAATAGCAAGTGTTGGAAGACTTCTCTTACCCAGCTTCAAAGCTGGAAATAGTTCTAAGGCTTTCTCTCCATTTCTGCTGCTGTAGCGGAAACGCAACCGCACTTCTTAGGCAGTAAACAGCCTTATAGTGTTTACATCTTCCCTTCAGACTGCTCGGGGCGACAGACGCCCAAGCTTTTCGAACACAGGTGACAGAGAAAGAGAGTAAATACCACTTGAGCTTAAGGAGTGCTGAGGTATGAGTCCCAGGTATCAGTGCGCAAAAGCCATTTAGAAAGCCGGCTTGGAGAAGAAATAGTTTCCCTGTAGCTCTGCCTAGTAACAGCCAACCAACCATGAGATACTAATTTATTAAAAAACAGTGAACAAACATTTTACTACATCACTGCAGAAATTCTGATACCTATCAGCCATCCACGGCAAGAAGGCAGGCAGCCTCTTTCCATCTTTTTTTTCCAAAGGGGAAGTTGGATTCCCCCCCCCCCCAATTTGCTTCTGGTATCATGGTAGCATTTAAAAAGAAAACTGGGTTTAAGCTACTGACTTACAAGATAGAATCTCACTAACAAATTCATAGTTTCAAAGGTTGTGCTTACTGTGTAATCCACTTCACTCGGAGAACATAGCTACGGGCCATGTTAAGGAGGTATTGATTCCACTGCACAGCCCAAGTTACACTGATATTTGCACCTATCTTCTGGTTAAAAATTCCTCAGATTCATAGCATAATGACTGAACTTCATCTCTAACTTTTCAAATGACAACCAAGTTTTCTGCTGTATTTATGTGGCAAGTTACTCACTAAAATGACAAAGAAATACTACAATTTTTTCACTGTCCCTCTGCTAAGCTTATTTTCTGAACCTGCCCAGTGCACTGCTCCGCTTTGCTGTTGGCTTCTACAGCATGTCCAAAGCTGGAGTTACTGGACACCAGCTTCGGCAGCGAAGCTCCCGTTGGTTTCAGTATTTCCACCTTTTTTGCTTATTATGTCACCTCTTTCAGTGGGTGGTACCACAAACTGCTGTACTGGCACAACTGAAAGGGCAACAAATGGCTGCCAAGAACTGCTTCTACTGATTTTGCTGCCATGATATTGTCAACTGTTACTGAAGGGAGATTTCAGTTTTCCCCAGATGTGTTCAAGAACCTCAGAGCAGCAGAGTTGTTATAGTGATTTGGTTTACAGTTTCCTGATCTGAAAATCCAAAGTTTTTACTAGAGAGAGAGAAGCTTATTGAACAATAGAATGGCTGGGGCACAGACCTGGGACCAGGTGATCCTTCTGGGAGATAGTGAACTAAGTCACATTTCCTTGCATTAGCTATACCACCAATTCACAACAAGCAGCCACAGAAGAGTCATGGCAATACACAGGTCAGCTTGAGACTTAGGACAAGCTGAGCAGCAATCTCACTTTTTTCCCCCCTCTTCCTCTTTTATATATGTCGTAGCAACTTTCACTAAGGAGGAAACAAGGGGCAGAAGAGGAGAAACTACAGTACTTTGACTGAGGAACAATGGTAATCTTAAGTGATACTTTTCTTGGTATGTGTAGCATTCTCAATTTGTCTCAAATCAAGGGAAAGCCAAATCCTCAAAATCTTGAGCTAACATGAAACATTATAAAATCTAGTGCTCTTATTTTCATTAATCCTACTACTTAATCAGATTCAGCAGGCTTTCAATGAGAAGGAAAGGAAGAACAGAGCCCTACAGGGAAATACAAAAAATTGTTTGAATCCAGAATGTTTTTTTTACTTGACAATAGAAAACAGAAAACGTTGACGGACACTATTCTACTTGGAAGTGTATCAATAACCATTCATTAAGAATGAATTGAGGGTCCTCCATGTCCTCATGGGATGAGATCTTTAGTTTAGTTTAATTAAATCTAATTTACCTCAAGCTATGTCCTCTATCGATCAGAAATATAGTCTCAGCCACAAACTCTCCACCACAACATAATTTGTTTAAGATTTCTAGGGACAGCATAGGTGGTTCTTGAAAACAGGATTAACAAAGCTACTTCAAACAGGCCTAATTTATACTGTCCTGCAAATCCTGACTATTCTAAGTGTTAATTATGTTCCACACTCTGCAGGTTATGTTTTAAAAGGCTCAAAATGGAAAACAAGGTCCACAGAGGATTCTTAATAACACATGACTTATTTCACTGACTTGTTTGTACACTGGACTGGAAGAAAAGGAGGTTTTTCTCTTCTCTCCTTAAATTAGAGATTCATCTACCCATTGAAACAGACAAAACAATAAAGTCCCCGAGGTCATTTAGCTTATGCCTGCAAAACATATTTTGATTATAAGGCACCTTGGGAACCTTCTTATTTTAGAAAGTTCATAGCTCTGTATGCGTTATCTTAACTTTATTAGTGTTATAAAAATATTTGAAGTTTTTAATCGTACTTGCAACTTGTTTTTCAACCGAGAAGTCTTTAGAACACTACAAAATACTCATACTCATGCATGTCTCATTGAGTGAAGTAGATCTAATACAACTGATGAAAACTAGAAAATAATATACCAGAAGTATAGAAAGAGTACTGCCAAAATGAAAGAAACACAATGACTCAATAGGCCTTTTTCACTTTTTGTTTCTGTGGCTCTGTAACAAAAGAAAGAAGAAAAACACCCCATGCTTGCTCAGTGATGGTAGCTAAATCCTCCAATATCTGAAATCAATGACCAAGAGTTCTTTTTTGTCAGAAGTTGGAGTAATTCAGAGACTAATCTGAACAATGCTGGCTGTGTGTCTGAGGTGCTGGTGAGCATTCAACAGACTAATTAATTCCTGCACATGGGCCAGCATCCCAAAGGATCACGCTGATCAGCATCTCTGGGAATAGGGCCAAGTCCTCCAAAAGACCAGACTGATCTCCGAAAGTGTTGCATCTTTTCAAACCCATGGGGTAATGCAGACTTTGCTACAGAGGTACTGACAACTCAAAGGCAGCCTCTCCCTGCTCAGCTAGAGACTGGGCTAGTTGTGCAGGCGGTTTGTGTTAGTGCCGCCCAAGGAAAAAGTTACAGTATGACTTGTAGTTACACTGGAAGAAAGTTCTTTGCTTAATGATGCTGAGGCTGGATGCAGAGATACGAACTTTGCCCCTCCTTATCTTGCCATGTTGTTTTCACAGCTCAGCATATCTTCTGTACGAACTGCCCTAAGAAATGTCTGGTATGGGTTTTACCCAAGATACTTCTTCCATTTAACTCCAAATAAAAAAAACTGAGAGGAACTTAAAGAGATTTGTTTGGGTATAATCTTGCCAGGATTGCAGGTAGAATTCTCTGAAGAGAGTATGAAAATCTGTGCAGCCTGAAAGTTTATGCTCTAGCACCACCATCACCTCACCCTTTTTAGAATCATATTTGCCATAGGAAATTTCGATATAAAACACAAATTAAGATGAAACCGTTTTGGTGAAATAAAGTCTCCATTTTGTTCAGACTTCTGGCAAAACAGACAGAACACAGACAACCTTTGGGTGGCTACTGTCTGTTAGAGAGAGGGTTAGGTGGAATGCCCCATAGTAAAATGATACATTGCTGTGAAATCCTAACAAAGAAATACCTTATGAAAAGAAGCAGCTAAATATATAACGCTTGAAACATAGGAACTACCATACATAGTTCCTTTCAATCACAGGATATAATTAATTCTGAGCTAACTTGCAGACAAGAAAATTGCCATATTTCCTTTACTTTCATATATATTTCCAAGGTCAATTCTATTTTAGAGTCGATGACATTATTGACATTGTTTTACTTTTTAAGAATAGCCGGGAGAAGCTTTCTCTTTTGGTGGATGGCAAGGGTAAGCATAAAGGGAGGTACTGAGCTAATACAATAGACAGCAGCAAGACAATGATGGACTTACAGACATGTTCGTCTGTACTGCAATATGATACAAACATATAGAGTTAAATGGAGACAGCGTGGACTGTTTCTACAGCTCCATGTGTACACATTGTTGCTGTACTCTTCAAGAGTGATAACCTACTGAAAAACAGTATTGCAAGAACAGCTTGCTAAGTAAGGAGGCTGGAACCAATTCTGGCCCCTTTCTGGCCTTCCAGAAGAATCACATTCCTTCCTTGTCTAGGTTCTGTAAGAGAGTTTCATAGTTGTTTTGAGGACAAGAAAAATCAGAGTATTGAGGATCATGGCTTCTTCCCAACTGCCTGCCAGGTGGGTAGCGTATGGTCACAGACTGAGTGAGAACAGGATGGGAAACTCTGATTGGAAGCACAAGGAAGCTCTGCGCACGCTGCCTTGGCCAACAATGTAGGCCTTTTACTGTCCCACACCTCCACTATTTTCCAGAAACCGATTATAATTGTAATATTTAGAAGTGCAAAGCATGCAAAAATCCTCTTTGTTGAGACACCTCTTTCTAACACAGCTCCTCCCCAAACCTGGAGTCTCTTAAAATATCGTCTTATGAGAATATCTGCATGTTCCCTGCTAGTCAACTCCCTGTAGGTTTGTGGGTTTGTTTTTGTTTTTTTTTTTTTTTTTTTTTTTTTTTTTTTTTTGTTGTTGTTTGGTTGTTTTTTTTTTTTTACAATTGTATCACCGCATATCCTAAAAAGGAGCAACTCAATTTTCTGCAGCTTGCCAACACAAAAGACTTTAGCACATTAGCCTGACTTTACTTCAAACAAGAGTAAACAAGTTTGCAAAAACAGTTCTGCAATACTCTGCCATACTTGTCTAGCTCTAGTTGGCAAGGAAGGTACAAGAAAATTGCAGAAAATAATTCACTACTATTCATCTACAGAACATAGTTTATTTTTAGCTGGTAAATTTTGCGTTACTATTTGTTTTCCTATAACCAGCAAGCACGAGAAACACATTCTATCTTAAGTACCACAAAACCAATGATTTAAGACTGACCAGGGAGAGAAATAATGAAACAAATATTTGTAGGAACATTTCTTTCAGAACTGTGGGTGATCTGGTATAGTCTGAATCTTACATTTATCTTTATTAGATTGAAGGAATCGGAGATAATGCAAAGACTTTTAAAGCTCCATGACAAGACAAGTATTAAAAGCACTTACATAACATTTAATTTAGCTGCCCTGCTCACTAATCGTATTTGATGGAATTCTTTTTGGTCTTACTGAAGGTACTGAATTTCCGCTATTATCTGGATTCAAAGGGTAATGTATAAGCAAAATGAACTTCTTCCATCATGAAATTACTGCAAATTAATAAATTAATTTAGGCTAAACTACAATTTTGTTAGTCTATTTATTACTTGAAACCCAGTATATATATATACTGGAACCCAGAATAATCCTGCTTGGAGATACTATGGTTGCAGCTGATAATGTATTATGAATGTAATTAATACAAACATAGAGAAGTTAATCGATATATCTTCCCTTTCTGTTTGAATGAGTTAATTAAATTTGTCTGCACTTTAAAAGAACGTATTTACTTCTATCTAGCAAGACAATTTTAATTGTCTAAGTAAGTTTTAAGAAGTTATTATGTTCAAACATAACAGCTATTCAGGCAGAGTACAATAAACAAAATATAAAAGCTTGTCAGATCTTAGGAGGAAACTCTCTTTCTCTCCTTTACCTCATTAATGAAGTCCCCAATGTCCCCAGGATGAGGAGCAGCTGATCTGACTGGATACTGAGGTTCTGCATGGATTGGCCTTTCATCAAGACGTCTGATTCCAACAGGTTTGATGGCATCTGGTTCCACAGTGTCGGGTTGCTGGAGCTGGCTCAAGTCATAATCCTGCAAAATACGAAACAAAGACAGTATGTTAGAAGAATTTCAAACAATATCTGTCAGGGGGAAACATGAGGAGGAAAAAAGGGAAAATGCAAAGTATCATTTCACCAGAAGTTCTGTTTCAAGGATTGTAATGCTTACTGAGAATAAGTCAATAACATTGTTATTTGCATACCAACAGGATGTTATTTGAATCCACTGTTTTGATTCTATTCCATCAGATTTGCAGAGCTTCTCATAAGTTTTCCATTGAAAAGCAAGGATTTGAGTAGTACTATTAAGAGACCAAACACTTTGCCTAGTAATAATGATTTATTGCATAGAGCAAAGATGCCAAATCCAACTCTTATTTTTCTAAGTGAATAAATGCCATACATTCTCATTGTGAGAAAGAGGCGAGAGCACTGCTCTGCAGTGTTTTATAATACCTTCAAAGAATGAATTTAAGACTCCTTGCTGATTTCATGTGGCTGCCATAATATGAAAGTCAAAGGGGGGAAAATGTCATAAGAAGTACAAAGCTACTCAGATTTAGCCTTAATTCTATGCACTTTCTAGAGATTACTCGTGGATCTGTTCATTAAGTACTTGATGCTGCAGTTTCAAACTCTGGAAGACTGATGAAGGTAGCAAAGCACTATGAATTCCAATAAGCAGTATGTATGTATATAAAAATTTTAATTAGATGGATGTTCATGCATTTAATATAGGTATGCCTGAATACTACTTGCACAGTGTGATGCATTTCAGCACTGTCATTCACCTCACTGTTGTCATGTCTAGAAGTTAGTCATGTTCTACGATGCCTTTGCAGAAGGCACTAGTAAAAATGGAAAAACAAAGAACCAGGCTTAAAGGCTTAAACCAAAGCCATTCACGAACTACCAGCAGACTGTGTCTCATGCCAGCAGTACTGCAATCCAGATATCCCTTCAAGTGGTTGAGGAGCATCCCAAGTAAGCTCCTTTATCATCAGTCTCTATTTTTCAAAAGTGTTGTTCTGGTAAAAAGTCTTATTTATAATCTCAACTTGCTGGAACCTTTCTGTGCAGACAATTACACTTTCCTTTGTTCCTAGCTAGTTCCTAAAGGAAGAGATATGTAGCGATAGAACAGGGGTAATGACTTTAAACTGAAAGAGGGTAGATTCAGATTAGATCCAAGGAGGAAATTCTTTACTCTGAGGGTGGTGAGACATTGGAACAGGTTGCCCAGAGAAGTTGTGGAGGCCCCATCCCTGGAAGTGTTCAAGGCCAGGTTGGATGGGGCTTTGAGCAATCTGATCTAGTGGAAGGTGTCCCTGGCCACAGGAAGAGGGGTTGGAACCAGATGATCCCTAAGGTCCCTTCCAACCCAAATCACTCCATGATTCTATGAACGCAAGCACTTCAGCTGTCATCTCATGGGATGTAGGTCCTTTTTGAGAATAGTACCTACTGTGACCCCCAAACCAGACTTTTCAACATCAGGAGAGGTCTGTTGACAGCAGTGAAGGTAGTTGGGAGAATTTAACTGACTATCAAATCTTCTACACCTTCTAATTTGTTACTCGGGTCCTCAGCTGACTGCACACAAATATATAGTCAAAAAAGGTGGAACAGCTCCACTGAGATCTGAGAATGCAGTTTCATATGCTTTAATTAGATTACAAGTTCCTTGGGGCAGAGCTGTAACTTCTACCCTTCGGTTCTTCATGTACCAAACAGAATAATAAGTGATCTCCATGAAGCGGTATAAATTGGAGAAAAGTAAACGGAACAGAACTTTTTATCCTTTCCCTTTTTATTACGTAAAATAAATCAAAATAGTTTAGAGAGATACTATCAGAAAATCCTATTAAACAGAGAAGAACATACTTTTTAGAATTTATAAATATGTAACACACGAATGCTTTTCATATCCACCCAAAAGATAAAGGTGGAAAACACCAATAGGGAGAAATGAAAAATACTATTATTTTTTTATACTATGCATTTCATTATGGAGGAATTCAAACAGGTATGGATAACTAACAATAAATTAAAACCAGGAGAGCCTCTCTGGTCATTTCAGTTTTGTAAAGATAATATGTTTTTTCCACCCACTTGCATAGGCATACGCTTCTTTCTGATTAGTGGTCATGCAGAAATACAATATGACTCAAGTCAGTCAATCTAGTATCTCCACACCTAAGGCCATCCTCTTATGTGTATGCATAGTTTGAGACACCTCCAGGCTCTACAGCTAAAAAGATAGCAAAGACTGCCAACTGCAAGGCAACAGCAGTGCAGAACGTGTCCTCATGTGGACTCCTACTTTGGTTTTATTTTCTAGGGTAATGTAAGACACTGCCACTAGCCTTCTATCAGAGGAAATTTATTTTGCAGGTCTATTAGTGTCTGGACAGGAAGAGAAGATCCATTGTGCTTATTACCACAGACTCTCAAATCTCTCATATCATTAAAATCAATACTAACTGTACATCAGTCAGGTACGGCAAGTCATCCCCCATCTCCCCAAACTGGCTTAGTGCTGAACAAAAAGCAGCATCACGCAACAACTCCAGCTGTTTCAACATTCTGTCTAAAGTCAACTCTACTCAATTACTGCAAAGTGAAAAAAGGAAAATGTTTTAAAGAGCCAGGGTGTAAGCTGTTCAGGGCTGCTAAAATTCCTTCTCTTCACTCAATGCTGCATTCACAGCTAGAAAAATGGGAAAACTTTTCATGTACTACCTAAAGCTCCTGAATAGACATTAAGGCTGGCCTCAAGCAGAGTTTGTTAAGATAGTTAACTGCAGAAGAGACAGCTAAACGAAAAACTATGGCACATCAGAGAGAGAAGAAGACATGCTGGGATAGGTTGGGAGAGCCAGCTTGGAACAATATTCTGGGTCATTATTTTTACTCTTAATTTCAGGACCACAAGTCAACAATATTTTGTCTTTGTTCCAGTCTTTTTCCAAACAACCTGTTCATAATCACAATCTGCTGAGGAACTAATGAGGAACAAGACTAGGCCCTCCATTGGAAATGTACTTGAGTAAAGTATGTGAGCATCTAGTTCACATGGCTGCCAATTTTTGTCAGAGGTATTTATTTACTTATTTATGCTATTTAGCCCTAACTCTGGAAATTCTAGAACAAATACCTCTTTC